TGCTGTTGATAAGACAGGACCAAGTTAAAATGCAGTTAGACCTGTTTCTAGTTTGTCTGTTGCTTTGTACCATCTGCATTATGGCTACTAATACATATCGTGTGTGTGTGTGTGTGTACATAATTATGTTCATTGTATAAATTATTCTTTAGGAGGTAAAGCCTGTGTATGTGACTTCCTTGGTTGGCTGACTCAAATCTACTACAGTGTTATGCTCTTGCATGTTGCAAATTACAATTATGGCTCAAGTGTTATGTCATAGTCAGCTGTGTGAATTCTTAAATATATGACTGAAACATGAATTATGTAGATTACAAGTGCAACTTGTGTAAAGCAGTATGTTGGTTGAATGTTTGGCGATTTAACATTGCTGTTGTAACAGTAATTGAATCAGTTGGAAAGATTAATGTGAATGGAGTGTAGGTAAGGATTCAGAAGGTGTTAGTCTTAGCATATATTTGTAAAGACTGATGAAAATTGGACATAGTAGGGGGTAGTCCAGTTGAGTATGTCCCATGTGCAAGTAATGAATGTTGCTGCACCAACCTGTACCTGTTATCTGGTCTTTATTATGATATCATGCTGAAATGTTATTAATTACCCACAAGTTACACAGTGTCACAATCCAGTAGACCGCAATTCACATTTTTACCATTGTGAAATCTTCAGCTCTCAGATGCTGCATAAATTAACTGGTCTAATAGCACTAGTAATTAGTAATTTAGTCATAGTAATTTAAATGGTTTGGTCAAAATTTATCCTTGCCTCCGATTCCATGTTGCCTTTGGTATGGCAATGAGTGGAAAAGAATTTGGTATGGATAATTGCATTCAGTGGATGGGTATAACAGTGGCTTGACACGTTAGTTGAAGTGTTGCCTGGTGTGTGCCAGGGACGGGGTGGTGTTGAGTTCCGCAACAAGACAAAGTCTGTTGCCAAGGTTGCCAAGGTGCTGGGAGAAAGCAAGCACAACCTCAACTCTCATCGCGGGCACACTGAGGAGGTAAGTTGTCACTTTGATTTACACTTATTTGTATACATATTAACATATGAAGTTATGTTAAAATAACAAAAATTACAAACATTTTGGATGGATTTACACTTCAACAACCCTGAGGAAGGAGGTAAGTGATTGGTTTTCATTTTCTGGCGAAACAGCTCTCCATACTCAGGTAGGAGGCTGCGTGATAAGAATAACAGGATGTTGACCTGTAAATAATTATTTGCTCCCTGTGTCTTGTTGTTGTATCCTTTGGTGAAACTGAAGTTTTAAAGGAAAGAGATTTAATGATTTATGACTTCAGCTTTTGGGTGAAAGCCATGTCGAATGTTTGATGTTAACCTGCATTTTGGCAAACATTGCGGTTGCCATTTTAAAGGTGGGTAAATGGTGACTGCAACATTTATCGAAACGTTGGTTAGCGCCATACGTCTCGCCCAAAAGCCAAAGTTATATGTTGAACTCCAGCGAAAAGCTATGGACAATTTTAAATGATGTTTTGGAGAGTGGCAGAAAAAGGAAGTTTCAGCCGTGTTAGAAATCAAACCTTTGTCATGTAGCCAATAGTTTATTTTACTGAAGTCTGCAAGATTTGTAACGTTCCTAGAAATGAAAAGTGTTTACTGTTATAATGTTACATTATAAATTATGAAATTTTGAACAATGTAACTCGTATTTTTACCAGTATAAATGTCTCTTTGTAGGTTGAACTTTGTGTGAAGATCCTTAGTGATATAATGGAGCTACTGTTCCGTAGTGACATTGGACCAACAGTTGCAGATATAAAAGATATCATGCTTACTGTCCTGCGAACCGTAATCCAGACCACAATATCAATGGACCGGGAAAGCCCTTTAGTTGTGAGTTGTTCTTATTTGTTACGAATTCAATCCTAGAACAAGTTACTGACAGATGACAAGAGACTGGTGCTTGTAAGAAAATATACATTGCATACAGAAACTGTTCTGCACTTATGTAAAGTGTGTTTGCTTTTCTCTTCCTATAGACACTTTCTGGATGTTGAAATTATTTTTATGAAATTTGGTTGTTTAATGTCTGATGATTTCTCTGTGGACTTTTTTTCTTCTTTCCCTGCCTTTATTAGAATATGTAGATTGGGCTCCCAGACATTTAGTGCATGATCATATAGCTGCCATTTTAATATTGCTATAGCTCAGTCAGTATAGTGACTAGCTACGGGCTGGACGGCCGGGGTTCGATCCCCGACGGGGGCAGAGGAGTTTTCCTCTAGCCTCTGCGTCCAGACCGGCTCTGGGGCCCACCCAGCCTCCTCTACAATGGGTACCGGGGTCCTTTCCCGGGGGTAAAGCCGGACGGGGCGTGATGCTGACCACTCACCCCCATCTAGTGCCGAGGTCAAGGAAGAGAAGAGCTATACCTCCACTCACCCCAAACGCCTACATGGCGTATAGTGGGACAAACTTTACTTTACTTATAAAAGTAGAACATTATAATTCAGTGTACTCATATGTTTAATTATAAAATCTTATTCTTCACATTTCTTTTAGTCTATAATATTATGAATCACGAAACCTTTTTTCTCTTCCAGGGCCGACTGGTAGCTGTAATGATAGCAATTTTCCGGCAGATGACAGGGCATCATTTTGAAGTGTACATAGATCACTTTATAACAATTACAGACCTGCTTGATTTTCTTATGGAAATCTTACTTGTATTCAAAGACCTGGTGTCAAAGCCTGTTTATCCCAAGGATTGGTGTGAAATGATAATGCTACAGAACAGGTAAATCAGTTACTTTTATTCCTGCTAGATGCATTGAAAAATTGTTACAGATACATCTGTTTTAGATTTTGGTAGCCAGTTTCTCAAAAAAAAAAAAAAAGATTATATTTCTTAGTTTGGACTTAAATGTAAAATAGTAATTCATATTGTACAGAATGGATTGAAATTAAATGTTCTTTATATAATTTAGCAGAAGACACTGTTATTATATGTAATTAAAATTAATTAATGAAAATGGCAGTTCTTTTAAACTTCCAACTGTTGCATATTGTACATGCAGATAGTTTGATATTAAAACTGTTTGTATGACTCTGCTATCTAATGCTTTCTGTGCTAATTTTTATTTATACGCACACCCATCTTCTGTTAGTGTAATTTTGTAATTCTTTGCCAGCAGAACATGGAAGTTAAATACCTCTGATACCGCAAACTGCCACCAAGCCTCCTATCCAGTGGGTACCAGGGTCCTTTCCCAGGGGTAAAGCATGGCCAGGGCGTGATGCTGACCACTCACCCCTAGCTAGTGTCAAGGTTAAGAATGGGTAGGAGCTATACTGCCTCTCCCCCCAAGTGCTTACTTTACTTTTTACTGCAGACTGCCATTGGACATAGTCCTGAGCCAGTTCTGTCCATCACCCATCCTTTCAATTTACATCCTACCTCTCTTAGCTCCATATTAATATTATCCTCAGTTTTCCAAGATCCAAAATTCTGTATCATTTCTTGTGTCCCCCTGCATGTCCAGCCCATTGTATTTGCAATATAAGGCGGTATGTATATAAATCATGATGTTTCTTATTAGGGAATGTCTTAAATTGTTTACTGATTTTTATCCTTGTTGATTTTGGTCTTCTGGGTAGTAAAACTGTGTGGACATGCAGGTAGATACCATTTCCTCTTCCATCTTCATGGCAGTAATTGTGTGTGAAGTTTTGATTTTACGTAATTTGTTGCAGTGTAATTCTCAAGTCTCTTCGTTTCTTCTCGCACACAATTCGTGACTACTTCTTCCAACCCTTTGAGCACCAGGCATGGAACAACTTCTTCCATTGTGCTATTGCATTCCTTACTCAGCCAGCGTTGCAGTTGGATGTCTTCAGCCAAAACAAGCGTGCGCGAATAATTGGGAGGTATAAGGACATGCGCAGGGAGACTGGTTTTGAGATACGCAGCATGTGGTTCAACCTTGGTAAGTGTAGGAACTTTGTGCGTAGCTGACAAATCTATCTCTCTCACGTGACATGAAACTGAATATATAAAATAGCCTTAACTTGATTAATCACTGCAGTCATGTAGCACATTATATTATATACTCTTTAATCTTTATCAGCCTTGCTTCATGACTTATGTGCAGTCAAGCGACCATGTGTTGCAGTAAAAGTACCTCTAAACTATTAGTGTGGAGTTGAATTCTGACTGGAAGCCCAGTAAGTAGTGTGGTACTTTAATCCCTTGTTCCTTGTATGATAGAGGTTAATTGTATTTTGTTGCCTCAGGTCAGTACAAGATTCAGTTTGTGCCTGGATTGGTTGGTCCGTTCTTGGAGATGACCTTAATTCCAGAGACTGAATTAAGAAGAGCAACAATTCCAATATTCTTTGACATGATGCAGTGTGAATTTTACTCTTCACGAGTAACAAGTGAAAGCTTTGGTGATACCAAGCGTAACACTTCAAACATCAAGGCCCACTTCTCAGAGGTACGACATCATCATTACCATGGACTGTGGTGGATTAGGCTCTGTTATCTGTTGCTAAATCCTGTCTAGAGGCAGGTGGTTTTAAATTCTTCTTCATTCGAGTGATTTGTCTTGGAATCTTTGATTTTTTCAGATGTGCGTATTTTCTCATTGATCTGTTCGTTTATTTATTGTCTTGTAAATGGCCTATAAACCTCGGCTTTCAGCTACAGTAGTCGCTAATACTTATTATAATTTCAGTTTGAGAATGAAATGATTGCCAAGCTAGACATTCTGGTGGAAGGGGGGCGTGGAGATGAGCACTATAAAGAACTGTTCGGAGAAATTATGCTGGATCGTTGTGAAAACCATTCCACTATGAAGGATCAGGTATGATACGTAGTTTTCCATTATCATCACCATCATCCATTGATGTTTCTGCCATTTTAGTTTGTCTTATGACAAAGCTTTCTTCAATAAATACTTCCCTTGTAATTCACTAAAGGTTAATTCATTATAAGAACACTACATTGGACTTTGGCCATATACACAACATTTTGAAAGTTGACTATACTTTTGTCTTTTGGGGATTGCTTATCATTATACTGACACCGACACTTGTGACTTTTGTTAATAATATATGAAAAGTGTCGGTATCATGACAACTGATCGCCTGAAGATGGAGTACAGTCAACTCCTAAAACACTGTGTATATCAAATATACCTCAGACAATAGACTGTGTCCTACACAGTGTTCCTGTGATTTCTCTTGTAGGTGTCCACTTTTTCTGCATTTAATTTTATACATCTTCCCTCGCTTGATGTTATCGCCTTCATGATTCACTTTGTGTGGTGGTAATTAGTTCAGTGTCTTCATTTTCTGTGCCCTAAAAGAAATCCTGTTGTCATTCATTCATAACGTGTTAGTACCTTTCCATAATGTGATCAACGTTGAGTACCATGTTGCCATATATTGTATGTTGTCCAAGTTTCAGAGGGATTATTTCTTGTTCATTATTAGTAGTCTGTACAAACTTATGTACTGCTGCTTGTAACCTGATAATAAATTGGAAAAGAAAAATGAAAAGTATTAATCTGTGATATGGAACATTTTAGTGCTAGCAATGCAGTTGAATAATCTGTCATGATTTTTAATGACAGAATTAACAATATCGATGTTCTGACAGATTGTTGATGGAAAGGAATATTACAATGATCGTGTAGAATTGTTTGTTGCTAGACTTGGTTGCTGGATCCCACAGGTGGGATGGGTCGTCATGTATCCTGCCCTTAGTATGTTAAATGTTACATACTGTTTGAATTTATGTTATTTTTATGTTATAACAGGGTATAAAGTTTGTAAAAACTGTGACTCGTCTGATGGAGCGATTGCTGGAGTACCGTTTTATCATCACAGATGAGAATAAAGAAAATCGCATGAGCTGCACTGTCAATCTTCTTGTGAGTATGCGTTATTGTTGTTTTATTCTTGAACTGCCTGTATTGTTCGAGTTAAAGAAAAAACAGGTTAATGCGAATAAGATGCAAAGCTAGAATGCCAAGTAACTGATATTCAGATTCCCACCAAATAGAAGGATTTACACTTTGGTGGACACTGGCATTTGACGTTTGAGTCATTGAATCATATTACTGTAAAAACAAAAATTGCAGTAATTTTGAATTGGAAATTCCGTATTGTTAATTCTTGTAGTTTCACATTTTATAATTATTACACCTTTTCTGTAAGTCTCTTATTAGTAACTTGGGCAGAATGTTTCATTTCATAATATAAGTCTTCTCTAGTTTAACATGCAATTTCACACAAATTAGATAATAATCTTTCAGACATGTTTTTTTTTTATTTCTCATGACACAGGACTTCTACAGTGAGATAAACCGCAAAGAGATGTATATCCGCTATGTAAACAAACTGTGTGACTTGCATCTGGAGTGTGACAATTACACAGAAGCCGCATATACACTGAAGTTGCACAGCAAGCTGCTCAACTGGTCCGATGCTCCCTTGCCTCCTTTGTTGAAGAGCCATAAGTACCTTAAGTGTCAGACACACAGAGACCTCAAGGAAGCATTATACTATGACATCATCAACTATTTTGACAAAGGAAAGGTGAGATATTGCTTGTATTTTCATGTAAACTTTTACGTGTATTCTGTCTGCCAATAGCAAAACATTGTGCCTGATTAGGTAGTACTCTTGCTACATATTTTGGAGACCCTGCATTCAGATCTGGGCCTGGACGCTGACTATCATGACTGAGATTTTCAGTGCAAACATCTTTAGTTGATTACCCTTTATTTAAAAGACATCAGAAGTTCTGGAAATTCATGTTTTTAGATGTGGGAGTGTGCTCTAGCCGTGTGCAAGGAACTGGTGACGCAGTGCGAAGAGGAAATATTTGATTACATACAGTTGAGCTCACTTCTGAAGAGAATGTCACAGTTCTATGACAGCATAATGAAGCAGATTAGACCAGAACCAGAATATTTCCGTGTTGCTTACTATGGTCGAGGCTTTCCAGCTTTCCTGCAGAACAAGGTATGTGTATGACTAAAGTACATAAGTGGTAGCTTTCAGAATGTTTTAGAACAGAAGCCATGTCTAAAGAATTGTTAAGATAGACTTAACCTCAATCTTCATCATATTAAATGACGTCCATATTTCTTCAGGTGTTTATATACCGTGGTAAAGAATATGAACGTCTGAGTGATTTCAGCAGTCGTACATTGAACCAGCTACCCAATGCAGAACTCATGAACAAGCTTACTCCACCTGGAGATGATATCATGGAGTCTCCACACCAGTGTATCCTTTTTTATGTGTTCTCAATTATGTAATTCATAAAAATGACTACCATATATGACAGTATTTTGTATGTGGTTTTTGATGCCCATCTCTCGCTATTCTTTATTAGCTGCAGAAGTGATATTAAGTTTTATTTATAGGTGGCTTCGAGTTTGATTTATTTATCTTTCTGCAGTACTGTAGAAAATGTTTGGTGTGAAAATTTATTTGTAATAAATTTGATATCAGTTGGTTGTACAGCTGTCAAACCTCTTTTCCAGCACCCGGAGATGTAGTTATTTTTAAATCAGTGGGTTGGCTTATAAGTTTTACATCCAAGTTTTCCTTTTAAGTTGCAAGGACTTCATCAGTAAGTTTCAGAACTGGAGTTTGTAAGTGAAGCTGTGCAAATATGAATCCTTGGAACATTTTCGTGTTCCTGACATATAATAAATTCTTCTCGGGCTACGAGCCGTGTAAGGTGGCCTGAGAAGAATTTATTGTGCTTACTCGCTGTGAAAGTTTCAGATTATACATTCATAACATATGATTTCTTTATTAATAATTTGTGTTTTTCCAGAAGAGTTCCACCGTATCCATTTGAGAAATATAACATTTTTTTATGTGTTAATATTTTATACCTTAAAATTTATTCAGATGTTCAGATTAATAAAGTTGAACCTCTAATGGATGACCGTAAGCAGCGATTATCTGGTAAACCCATTAGTGACCAGATCCTGCGATATCACAGGTACATGATTTTTTTGTGGATTATAAAATGCTATAAATTGACATTTTTCATTACCCTGATCCAATGTTGCTGCTGAGTGGTTAGCACTCATGCTTCATTTCAGCAGGTTCTGGGTTCAGATCTCAGCCCAGAGACCTGGCCTGGTTTTCCTCAGTCACTCCAGGCAAATGCCAAAATTGCACCTTAAATTAGTCCATAAGGCTGCAAAATGACAGGTGAAGAAAACTGTGTGTAGCAAGATCTGTTCAATGAAAAATGTGTCTGGAATTTTTTAATGAAAATTTGAAGAAAAGATTAAGTTGTATTCGCTTAAATGCTGTTTGTGTGCTGATAGGGTGAATGATGTGCAGAAGTTTCGCTTCTCCCGTCCATTTCATCGTAAGGATCCACTGAGGCTGTCTGGTGGAGATGGAGATAATGAATTTGCAAGTCTCTGGCTAGAACGTACCGTATTGGTCACATCGTATCCACTACCTGGAATTCTCCGTTGGTTTCCAGTTACCTCCACCGATACATATCAGGTAAAATAAATTTATTTTACAAATTCTTTTAGCTGCAAAGTGAGTATCATCTAAGGTTAAACATAGCACGCTTACAACAGACAAGAAGTACACATAAATTTGTAGGTAGAAGAACTGGGAGATAATATTCAGATGTACTTTGAGAAATTGGTTGTGCAGGTGTAAACAGGATTGAATGTATGAAGGGTTAGGTCTGATAATGGAGTTGGAGGTTCAGAACAACAGTAAAGTCTTTGAATAGTTTAGTTTTGTAGGCGCAGACAGTAGTTTTAATTTTAAGATGAAAGCTAGATTATTCCTTTGTAGGTGTCGCCATTGCGAAACGCTATCGAGACAATGGAAGTTACCAACAAAGCTCTACGAGACCTCATAATAGCTCACAGAAGTGATGCTACATTGCAGTTGAATCCTTTGAGTTTGAAGATCAACGGCATTGTAGATGCTGCTGTGATGGGTGGTGTGACAAATTATGAGAAGGTAAATATTTTGGAAATTGTGCTACTCATGGTTTCTGTGGGTATTTTAAATTTAGATTTGCAGAGAATGAAGATTGTGGAGATAATTTTTGTGTGTGTTGGTTGTAGAAATAGTGCATCAGTGGTGTCTTGGCTTCGCAGATTTTTACCTTTCTTTTTTAATTTGAGATCTTCCAAACATCAAGTCATTCTGGATAACTGATGTTACAGTTAATTGTATAAGTTAACTTATCATTAAAGCACTGCAAGAGTTAATGTAAGAGATACAGTACATAAGGCAAGTATTGAAACCAGCCTGTTACGTGCTCTGATAATGTCGCATAGCACACACATGGGACACCACTTGCGGCACGGTCTACATGGCCTTATTCGTCCCCTTCGCATCGTTAGCTTGTGCGACTGGTTTCAAGACTGACCTCATGTATTGTAACTCATCATGTAAATAAATGCAAAAGTTAAATGTATGAAATAACAATTATCATGTAAGCTTTTGAATATTTAAGTTATCTTTTTAGTATTCTAAGGCTCAGTTATATGAGATACTTTATCATATATCCCAAAGAAGGTTTTGAACTTTGATGTAAAATGGAAGACCAATATGAGGTCAGGTTAGGAAAGATGTCTCAGAGCAGAAAGGAAGCCTGGCAGAAGAAATTGATGGGGAGGAGTTGTGCGAACACAGAAATAACCGGAGAGGCTTGGAAATATATTACATGATCAAGAAGATTAATTCATTATATAAGCAGTGAAAGGATTGTTTATGTAAGCACATACACATACATATATACTTGTAAAGATCTGCTCCTCAGGACACAGATTTAAGCTTTCCCCTTTTTGTGCGTCATTGTGATCTTATGTGTGTAGGCATTCTTTACACCTGAGTATGTAGAAGTGCACCCAGAAGATGCAGCTCTCATCACCAAGTTGCAGGATCTGATTGCATCACAAATTCCGCTCTTGGATTTATGTATTCAAATTCATCGTCAGAGGGCTCCTCCCTCTCTTGGGCCATTCCAGCAGCGACTGGAGGAATGTTTTGCTGAAATGCAGAATCATGTAGAGTCCAAATATGGAAAGAAGGTAATTGTAATACAAATTAATATTGGTGAAAGAGTGCTCTGGTGGAATTCACTCAGTAACTTGTAAACCAAATTTTATTGAAATTTTATTACTTTATTTCAAAGATATATACAGACAGACTGATAGGCAGACTTGTCTTTCCCTGTGTGCATTCATTTCATATACTTATGTACTTTGCACAGGTAATGCTATTAATATATGGTGCCTTACCTGGGGTGACCAGGGTAATTTTATATTCAATAAGCAGATGATTTCTTCGCAAGGCCCCCCCCCCCCCTCTCTTTTGACTTTTTTTCTATTTGCATGCTAAGTTAAAATATGAAACTTCTTTGTCGTTACAGACTTGTGATTTGAAACTTGAAAGTGCTCATTCTGTAACGATGAGGAGACAGTTCAGTACTAGCAATTCACACGCAGATAATCGTCTGTCTGAAGCTAGCCTCACGTCATCAGAGTAAGTACATTTCTTGTAAACATATGCAAATTACGTGAAGTTAAAACATGTGTTCACTTTCAGGTGATATGTGATACTAGCAATAGCATATGACTCATCAGCATTGACATGATTGATCCTCTTGTGTGTTGAACAATGGTTTTCCTCAGTCCCACCAGAAAGATGCTGGTATAGTTTGTAAAGTAGGCCATAACCACTTCTTTCTAATTCTTTAATCATTAATTATTCTGTCATTGTTATATAATCTGAGCTACTGGCATTGTAGTTAATTAAACCATAAATAAAGTAAATTAGTAATTCTGTTTCGTAAAAATAATGACAAAGTTTGGTGCGTCTTTCAGGATATCCGCAAAGCATTTCCTTATTGTGCATTCAGCTGTGTAAGATGAGTCTTATATACATTAATGTGCTTATGCATATTCTTGGGTAGTTCGGTGAGTCATATTTAGTAGGAAGCAATTTTATGTTGATAGAACAATAAAACCCAAACTTTAGATAATGTGTCTATAGGAAACAACGTTGAACTATAATAATTGGCCTAAATTTAGTGTAGGCCTCTGCAGTCGGTGTTTGTTACATATGCTGCTTCTAGTGAAGGGTGCTTCGTAATGGTCTACATAGTCAAATATTGTCTGTGGCTCCTTTTTTGGGCTGTATAATTTGGAATAATTGGTCTTTAAAAACTTGGGTGTGTTAACAAAAAGTGTTGCAGCATTTCTTATACTCTCCACAAATATTTAATATTTGTTTTTAGAAACGTTCTACCTTTTTATTACCTCTTTCAGATTTCAGTTATTCTTCTTCTGCTTGGAATCCCTGTTTTCTGAGCACTTACGTATATCTTAAGAAGAACTTGATTTGCTTTTATCTGTCACAAATTAATTGTACATACATCAACATTTTTACTAATGTAGTTACTTGTCTTACAGAAGGTTGTGTGTTTTTCTGTCTGTAATACTAACTAAAACTGCTTCTTTTGCGAACACTGTAATTTAACTCGGTTGCCATGTGTCTCTCTGTTAATGCCTTTTATGGTTTCTTTTTGCACTATTTTTTAATATCAGGTTTGTGTGGGTGTGAAACTTGATCTCCCTCTGAGGGAATAACATGATTGAGTTTGAGAATCAGGAGGATGATGAGGGAAATACAAAATTGTACAGAATTTTAGGTACAAAATATGTAGATAAGATGCGGCCGGGGGGGGGGCTTCGGATTAATTGGAAGGATATTAAGTGAGTTCTTTGATGCAGAAAGACACCATGGCTGATGTTTTTGATTTCTGAAAGAGATTTCTTACCTCAGTATTCATTTTAATTCATTAAATTATAGTTTATTAAAGCATGTAATTACTGTATTTTTTTATTTATAAAAATACTGGGTAGGAACATTCTGATAAGTGGAGGTTTTTGTACTTAGGGTAGAATTTGAGGAACTTGAATTTTAAAATTTCTGTTTAAATGTGCACTGAGGTAAAGAAATCTCTTAATCTAGCTTTTCAATTGGTTTTATTTTGCATGTTGATTGGTGCCTGATCACTAGAGGGAGTAGGTCACGTGTCTCAAGTCTAACCCGATCACAGGTTACTACACTCAAAAATTTTGCTACCACATTCAATTTCTCCAACATCAATTCATCTAACACGCTGGGAAGGTAAGGTGTTATTCTGCTAATATGCTTTTAGATTGCTTGGTGTAAGTGTTTCAACCTAATGTGCCTGTCTTATAAATCTACAGTCGTTAACCCATCTCTTCATTTCAAATATTTTTTCGAAAGCAAGTAAGTTTTGGCTGCACAGACTTGGAGGAGTCCACTCACAATAGCTTATCTGTCACAGAGTGGAGATTTCACTGTGATGATAGCTGTGTATGAGAAAGGTTGAGTAGAGAGTTTACTGTGACGATATTAGCAAGCATAAGATGTCAGTTTTTAACGTGCTGTCTTTACTGCGTAAACTGGAATGCAGAATTGTACACTACCAATCTATAAATAGTAACCAGTAAAAAAGGTTGGTTTCAGTGGTAAAAATTGTGCATACTACTGTATGAATTAATCTTATGGTAATTAAAGGTGTTTCTCAGCGGATCTGTAGCCACACCAGCACTACCAACTTGGAGTTTGGTGACTTTCTTTTCCCCCCACATAATTTTTATCTGCGCGTCCTTGCCTTTTACACAGGTCTGTAAAAAGGAGAAGTCTGTTGTTGACACATTTGTTGTGTTTAATATTCGTCTAACAATATATTCAAAATAACTGTGTATATGCATAACCTGAAAACAGGTAGTGATGTACTGGCCTTGTTTTGTTTCCTGTGTGTTTTCTAGGGGCCAGGGGTCCCTTGCAGCACCTACCCTACAGCACCACTCCACCCCCGGCCTCACACTCTCCTTGCACAGTAATGTTAAACTCAACCCTCACAGCATTTTCTCATTTCTTCATCATAACAATTAAAAATTATAATTGCATGTTTGCAGTTCAGATGTATGTGCACAGTCATCATTTTAGTTTCTCAGAATTTCTAAGAAATGTTTTATAGCTTTCATTTTTAATAAATAGTTGTATAAGTTTCCCTGTTAAAATAAAATGTTACCATATCATAATGTTGGAATGAGAGGAAGTTAAATGCAATCGTGTATATTCTGAAAAACATTTGCTTGAAAGAGGCAACTTGTTTTTTTTTTGTTTCCAAATTATGGTTTTAAATAAACCTTGTTATTTAGATAAGGAGGCTCTCTGTCGTGTTTGTCACTGACAAATACTGTATTGACATTTCTTCTTGTGCTTTGATGAACTAAACAGTAAAACTGGGTATGTGTCTTAAAGGTGGAATGTTTTGGCTTTGATAATACATGTGTAGTGTAATATGACAAGAACAGGTGGGATCCGTTCGCTACATATTAATATTAATTTCACTTTGAAGACGTGTGTGCCTTTAGGCGTGTGTTAACTGTGTACGATCATTTGTTAGCTGTTTTTTGTCAGTATGTGTGCCATCCTGATTAAACAGATTTTAATGATATTTGATAGTGCAGTTGATATTATTGCTATACATGAAGGTAAAATACTTTCGTGTGTATCACAGTAAATATTCTACTACACTCAGATATGTTTCTGGTAGACATTTTACTTTTTGGTAAGATGAACAGTTATGTATTCTATCATGTATCACGTATTGACTTTGAACTCCCCATATTTGATACACTGTGTGCTCTGCGAGCCATGCCGCCACCCTCCAAGTGGCAGTGGTACACTCCGTGCTGAGAGCCCCTGGCCTTATTTGTTTGAACGCTTATGTTTATACATATCCATCCTCTTATACCTTTTGATCCCTTGGCTGCTGGGGACCTACACTGTCTGACTGCCTGCCATGTGGCCAGCAACTGGTAATTATACTTCATGTTGGTGTGTATGATGCATAGTTCTCAGTGATAGAAGCTGTGTTTGTTATTCTCACTGTGGGAGTTCGTCAGGAATGATCCTGTACCATTTTGTTTATACATTGTTTAAGTAAATGCATTAGGTGTGAGTAGAAGAAATTATTGCCAAATTTGCATCTCTTTAACTCTGTCCTGGCTGAAGTGCTTAAAAATTGTCTGAATGTAAATTGTCATTTTGAGCCTAGTACTTAAAAGTATTGTTTTTCCCCTGTTTCCTAGTGCCATCTGTTGGAATGTTAATATGTAATGCTTGTATAGATGTATATAATACGTGGAGGCACTGTTTCTTCCACATATTGGCTCAAAATATCAAACGCAGGTTTTTCTTGGGGTGGGGTGCAGAACAAGTTGGGAGAGTGTTAAGTAGGAAAAATGTTTTGACACAGAAAGCTAGAAGCATATTTGTACGTTAGTAACAATAATTGTTGCATGCCCATTTAAGCTTCCTGCATTTCATTTTTTTCATTTAAAGTTACATATTTCTAACATGGGGTGTATAAAACTGTTCGTTACACTCAGTGTAATGAATAGTTCGCACAAGCCACGTATTAACTGTTTTCACAGTGTTTATAAACCAATCAACTGTATATTTTGTTAATACGATGTTCATGAAGCACTCCTGATAAAATATTCATGTTTTAAATTCAGCTGAAGAATTTGTTGCCAGTGGAATCCTGTAAGTATTGTGTTTTGAAATTTCTAGTTTTCGTTCTCATTGACTTTCTTTGGATAATTTAATAATGTCTTTGTCGCAAATGCGCAAAGAAAACTATAAATTTGAAAATATGCATCTGGCGGGAGAACCACAAGAAATTCAGTGTTTGTATTATCCTTTGCATGTAATGAGACTTCACTTGGGAACTAACTTTTCACACACACCTACAATAACATGGCCACAAGAAGAAGATCGTATGGCACTGTTTGGAAGCTGTGAAGTTGCTTTTTTTAAATAAGATACTGCCACATATGTAGATTTTCTCGTTTTATACTAAGATGCCCAGTCTCTGAGCTAAGATGTGAACCCATGACCTCCCAAATGTGAAATAGGAGCACTAACCACACATTCAAGTCAGCGACACATATTCATTGTCACTTGTTAAATGATACGTTAAATTATTAATTACTTTTTGTCTTCATAGCATGGATAATTAGTCATGTTCAGGTATTTTGAAATACGTTACAGTGAAACCTCGATGCATCGTTTTCGGCGGGGGTGGGAAATAAAAACGATAGATGCGGGAAAACGATAGATGCGGGAAAGCATTAAAAATTTAAAAAAAAACAATGTTTCTCTTTCAAAGTTACTTCTTTTTACCAAAAAAAGTCTTTAATGGACAACTGGTTTGTCGAAACTTTACGTTTTAGACCAAACAGAGTACTTTCCACGTTCAAAATGTTTTCCTCGTCACGTTCGCTAATATTATGGGC